AAAACTATTGATTGAGTTTTTTTTTTTTTTTGGTGCCCATAGATGAACAATTTTGAGTTCATGTGTAATCTAATGTTGGGATTACGAGATAAATGATTTGTATGCACATATAAAGTATGTCAAACGGGTTGAGATTGGCTCACTCACACGAGCAATCGCCTCAGACGTTTTGAGATGTGCTGAGATGAGACAAAGTGATCATATTGTGTACATAATCCTGTCACCTTGATAGTGATCATGTTGTGTACATGATCCAATTCCCTTGATAAGGTATCAAGATGAGATTACAACAAGTAATCGAAATGGATTTTGCTATCCATTAAACTCGTTTAGTAGCCAGATCGAGTTCTCAATTTGAAAATGCCTGGAGGAATGAATATAAGGAGAACTCAAGTTTGATATCGAGGAATATCTAAACTATGATTTGTACGATATATTTAATTTGCAAGATTAGGCATACGCCCTAAGAAAGGGAGAAAATATCGTAACACGTGTTTCATACCACATGTGCTTTAACGACCAATGAGAAATGAAAGAATTGGTCTCTGCTTCTTCATTGTGTGAGTCTCTAAGGCACATTTGACCTCACTTATATATACCCTTATGACTTTTGACCGTTTCTCAAAATTTTATTTCAGTGTTGCTACTTAACCATGTTGTCAATAACTATGATTGATTCGGTTTGATGTGACATGTCTAGGAAAGCAACTGGCTTGAAATAAAGGGATTCAAGTAGGAAAGGAAGACTATTTAACTAACACCTCAACTTGCATTCACCGGCCGGACAATTGTGTTAATTATTTGAGTTTTGTGACACAATTGTGAATACAATATAAATGAGAAAGTTGAGTATGTTCTAAAATGAATTGAGGGGTTAGAAATACTCGAACTGTTATTACAAAATATGTCTGGGGTATAGCGAGAAATATAATTCCTCTTCTAGAGCTGCTATATATTCCTAACAGGTGTATAGTGTTGTGTGTTCTTAAATTAACTCAATGATCACACGTTCCATTTACCTGTATAAACTTGGAGATGTTGAGATTAATATAATTGGTATTATATTAGAATCAGGTCAAGTCCATCGCGTGCGAGTGGGAGATGTTGGAAGAAAATGAGCCGCCCATGTGGGTTGACCCAACCCGATTTGCATGGAAATGAAATATAGAGGGAGGAGTTGAAAATTGAATTCAAAAAAATCAACTCTCTCAATCTATAACTTCCATGTATATATCCACTCCAAAAAAAAAATAAAAAATACATAAGAGATTTGCAAGAATTCGGGTTTTATTCATGGAGTAAAAAGAAATGAGGGTGAAGGCTTGATTTTTGGAAGATAACATCTCAAATTGGGTTCTTGGATTGCGACTATCAAATTCCTTCCATTGTGATCGAATTTCTAACCAAGAGACAGGTACAAAATGGTGTGGAAAGCAAGTGAATCAAAGGCAAGTAATTCAACCTCGATTTTGTGATTTCAAGTAAGTATCATTACTTGAAACTCAATTATAAACATGTAAGCACGTTTTACACTATTTAAATTAAAAACACATTGATGCATTTGGTTTGCCAACCTGATAAGACAGATGCGCGAACGAACAATTTATTTGCTAAAATGCATCTCTGTGGTTGACTAAAAACTTGGTATAAAACTTCTGGATTGAACAGGATATAGAAATGAGACAATGACGTAGACTAGACCCCGACTTTTGAGGTATAATTACATAGTACACATTTTTGAGGACCTGAACCATTAGAAACTTTTTGATCTTTAAATAAATATATTATGATAGATTCACATCAATTGCCTTAAAATCACAATTATGGACCTGAATAAATTAGTTAAGCACTTAATTTGTGGACCTTTATAAATACTAAAAATATATCATTGTACCTACAGGTTTACAACTATGACAAGTTGAAAAGCAAGACAAGAGAGAGGCATAGACTCTGTAACTCACCACGAGTGTAGAAAATAGATGCAAGAAGCAGATGCCCACTATTATTAGAGAAGGAATATTGTTCGTATCCCCTTTTCTCGGCAGAATTCATGCAAAAATCCTGTGGCTGGAAACTGCAGCGAGGAGATTCTTTCAGTCCATCAATGTCCATGGATTCTTTAGGGTGGCTACCATCATCTTCCAACACATCTTTGTCATTGGCGATAGAGGTGTTTGAATCACACTGTAAAGAGAATTTGGCTCTCGAAATTATCAATTGACATGTAAGTCCCATCAACAAGCACTTCTGATCGCTTGGAGTTATCGAATGTGTCCAACTCTGTCAAATGTAACTCTTTTGGAACACCAGAGTACTAGAGCTGGCAAAGTGCCAAGCCAATAACCAAACACTTGACGAGTCCGTTAAAGCCACCCAAATTGGATTCAAGATCCTTTTCCTGGTCCAGCTTGAAACTGAACAGTTTTTGAAATAAATGTATTTTGTTTGGAAAATCTTTTTCCCAAAAATAGCTTATCAAGTGCTTCTCCAAACTCTTTGGCAGACTTATGTTGTTCAACTTGTCCTAACACATCATCAGAGGAATGCAATATAATCAAACTATGTGATTCATTCATCTCAATAATTTCATCCGGTTTAGCTTTTAATGCGTCAGGATATTTTTAGAGTCATCAAGAGCTTTAGAAACTTTTTGTTGAATTAAAATAGCATTCACTTTTTGCTTCCAAATGGAATAATCTCCCTCACCATTGAATTGCACCAATTCAACTCGAAAGGTCATGGTAGCAAAACAATGTTTTTCGAAAAAGTTTTACTTAACCAATTTACCCACACACAAATGTAAACCAGCTTATGTATAAATCACTTTTGTAGATGCATAAGCGATGATATCATAACAAGTAATAGATAAACAATATCAAAAGAGTCAAATAACAATATGGTAGCAAATAACACAATATTGCAATTGTAAATTCGAGAGGGTGTTAGAGCGTACAAATCGCCTCTACTAACTGCCCTAAGCCATCCAACAGTTGCTGTAACACCAGGAAACACCACCGAGTCGCCAACAATAAAGTTTCTCTGTTTTTCCTTTTCTGCTCGAGGTTGTATCTACTTTCACAGTGCACCAAAATGAAATCTAACACCATCAACGGGTTAGAAATCCATCATAGAACAATATGTCTTTTTCATCTTCGACTGATTCCTTTACACGCGCTCTCACGCGTCCTATGTGTCCTCTGTGCATGGTCTCATGCACCACCTCCACTGACGGCGTGTGTATCTCACGCACTATGCCGAATATTTTGCTTGATGTCCGGAGTCTGGTGGTGGTCGTTGTTCGTCCACCAGGTGCGTCATTTTTTCAAAAAATGGGTTTAAAGATTCGGGTTTACTAGTTTTCAACCACATCCAAACTCCTTCGACTTCCAATCCAATTTTCAGGCTGTTTTAACACTTTATATCACTGGCCTAAGCTCTGATACCATTTGTAGAGTTTAAAATGTAGTGGATAAATGATTATTACAACTAAATGTGGAAACATAAACTCTCAAAGTGTAAAAATCGAACCAATCGACCCAAAGTTTCTTTAATATCACCAATGGAGTATCTAATGATGTTGAGCTCATATTTATGTCACACCAGATCATATATCGTCGTCCACGGGAATGATAATGGATATACCGAGAAAAGGATCTGTCGAAAACCAACAAGAATTTCCTCGAAGATATGAACTTCTCCCACTTGGTTACATCTCTGTACTCTCTCTTTTGTTATGCCAAGTTCAAATAAAACAAGTGAAGGAGTCTTGTAATTATATAGCCAAAACCATTTGAATTGAAATTCAAATATTGTACTATAATCAAGAGTGAATGTGACATAATTAGAGAAGGAGAATTGACCACAAGACTAAATTCAACCATTGGATTTAATCTATGGTCCAAAATACTCCTAAACTGGCACAATCTCCTCAATCTCTCTAGACCAATTAACTTGTGACATGTGGATGGGGTGATCCACCTCACAAACCTAAAAGTAGTCCATGCACTAAACTCTTCCATAGCAAATTTCAATTGTTTAGTTCATTTTGACATTGTGATTTCTAATGTGATCAATGATACCATTGCGTTAGACCTGACCTCCGGTACTATTACTATCTTGAACTTTTAACAAATAATAATCATCAATTAGGTTCTTCTTAAACCTACCTACCTCCACCCCTCTCACCGTAACTTGGGTCTAGGTGGAGGCCTAAAAAGTTCGCCTACGCTTTAATGATGTTTTAACCAAAAAAAGTTAGATGTTTAATGTTTGTATACTTTTCGCTAATGAGGTTTAAATCCAGATAAACTTGCCTCTATGATTTGTTGTTCAATCCAAGTAAAAATGGATTACTTTGTTGCAATGTTATAATAATCATGTTACACGGCTAGAGTCAATGACAGAAAAGCATTTCCGGACTACACTTGGCAATTTTTCATTGGAGAATGGGAAAAATTCATTAAAAAACTCAATCATGGACTGCCATATTAGTTTATTTTTTTCCCTGTTCGTTCATCATTATTCATGTTATAAAGCATTTTAGCTGTGGTTTCCTCTAAAACGAAGAAAACTCACTGAAAATCACTGGTCAAGGTGGTCCTACCAAGAAAGCCAGGGGAGTGACGCAAGTTTGAGCACATATTCTCTATCCAAAACTATCAGATTCTCATTTATCATAGTTGACATTCCCCATGTGTCCCCCCATGCATTCACAAGATAGCACGTATATAAATTATATGCATACGAAAAAAGACAATGAAAATCAGGTTATTGTATCATGCTACATGTGAATATGCTTTTAAGTTGTGTCTGATTTATCTGAATAGCCTTAAAGATTGCAAGAACAAGTAGATATAACTTGTAATGATCCACAAATGTCATTTCAAAAGAAGGGGTCATTTGTTTTAGCATATATCCAAAAATATGAAAGAATCTTCATTTTTGTTGGAAACTTATAGAAAATTCTATTAAATCCAACACCTTCACTTGCCTATATAAATACAAGGAGATGAACCATATATATCACAACATTGAAATTTTTCAAGAAAATCTTGTATTTTCCATCAAATTGGCACCCCTTTTAACTACTTCATTGCATACTCATTAAACCACTCGTGCACATTTCCTCTCCCCTAATCGTTTTAGTTGAATTTGATGGATTGTATAGCGAAATTGGCTTCACAAAAAGCAGTGGTGATCTTTAGTAAGAGTACATGTTGCATGTGCCATGCTATCAAGAGATTGTTTTATGAGCAAGGTGTGAGTCCTATGACCCACGAGCTCGATCAGGACTCGAGAGGAAAAGAAATGGAGATGACACTTATGAGGCTAGGGTGCAGCCCTGCCGTCCCGGCTGTGTTCATCGGAGGAAAATTTGTCGGCTCTGCTGATACTGTCATGACTCGTCATCTTGATGGCTCACTTAAGATGTTGCTGAAAGATGCTGGAGCTATATGGCTGTAGTCACAAATAATGGAAAACAATGTTTTGAACTACATAAATAAGGCCAACCAAAACGTAGTGTTCGCAAAGTTTTCTTCCTCTTTCCTATGAACAGTTTTAATACATAGTACATATGCTATATGTAGCTTGTCTACGTATATAGAGAGAGCCTGTCTTGTACTCTAATTTAGTTACATTGACAAGCAATTTCAGAACAGCCTTTCTCTTTTTCCCCTTTTTTTCTCTAAGAACTTTATATTTGAATTACACTTAGATAATGCCACAAAGTAGCTAGGTTTGATGTCATGGAAGTCTAAGAAACAATGCAAAGTATAAAAAGACTAGTATCGAGCCAAAACTGTCGAATTCCTTTAGCTAAAAGACAGCCTCATTTTAGAAACGAAGTATCTTCGACCACCCCCCTATATTCCAGTGGCCGAGCAGTTTGAGCCATCTTCGTAGTCGATCAAAGGGTCCCATAAGATTTTTGACGTCAATAAATACGAACAAGTTAACCGGCATTTCATTTTGCTTTATAAGTAGTCCTATATGTAGTCTAAAGAATTTGTCTTAGCCCCTGTTTGATGCCCATTACCTGAAAATGAAAGGGGGGGAATAGTATTTTTTAGAAAAATGAGTAGTTGAAAAAGAAGGAAAAATTTTCGATTTACGTATAATATTATTTTATGGAAGATTGTGTGGTTGAAAATAAGAGAGAGAAAAATGGAATGTAATTTAATGGGGATCAAACAGGGGCTTATACTTAAAAATATAACAGCAGAATATAAAGTAATTGTTGGGAAAAATTGAGTGATTTGTGTGTAGATAAATTTATCAATTAGCATAATAATATAATCAATTAGACGAAAACATAATTACAAATCAATATATCATCCACGTGACAGTACTTTTACAAACTGGGAGCCAACATGACCAAGTAGCCTGGCATCATATTTGGAATATAAATGGTAGACCATTAGTATCATGAGTTAAACTGTGGAAGCAATAAAACTTCATCAACATGATGCAGTGAATGATGATAGTGCACCTACTATACAACCAATTTGACAAATTTAAATATGTTTTGCTCCAGGAAAATATGACAAGAGAAACATGTAGCCAAAAGGATATTTAAAAATTCATGACAGATGAGTAGCGCAGAATCAAAAGAACCTTTACCAATAAGTTCCAATATATCATAGTTTTCCATTCACTTCTAACCAACCTTCCCAGTACGAGATATTTGTGAAATATTCAATCCCAAAAGATGCCAGCTTACAATTCTAAAATTATATCAAAGAATCTTCTAAGAGAAATTCATTCACACAAATCACGTAACACGACTTTAGATTGTTGGGAAAAATTGATTGATTTGTGTGTAGATAAATTTATCAATTAGCATAATAATATAATCAATTAGAGGTAAACATAATTCAACAATAATATAAAATAATAATAGGGTTAGGAAATCAAGCATTGGGAGTCACATCGAGGATGCTGTCCTAAAGTCATGTTGTCTTCCCTTCGTGTGGGTTCTTTCGACACTACACGACTCCAAAATAAAACATATGTGGCTCTCCTTCTATGGGCACGACCATTGGGAGATAAAGAACGAGTATTTATCTAGTTGTCTAAATAGTATAGGGTAAAATTATAGAGAATAGTTTTGGAATCAATCATCTCAAGTTGTGTTTTTCTAATTGTATCTCAAATTGTGATTTTCCTCCCTTTATATAGTGTACAACTGAAACCCCCACACTAATGAGAATTAATCAATTCATAACCTCCATTTAAATATTTAGTTTTATGTTATATTATAAATTAATATTTTAATTAAATCCAAAACTGAAAATTAAAAATATAATAATTTTGAAAGTTGAAACTTAATATAATTTCCAACAATCCCCCAGATAAAGGAGAAGAGAGGTGCAACATATAGGTGGAAATGGAATTTTGTTGAATAAATTATGTTAAAACATAATTGCTATCAATTTAAAATTTATTTTAACTAATTAGTAACAAAGGTTATGACTTATGAGAATAATGTTTCAAAGAGAAGTTGTATATTTTAAATATTATATAAATGTTGTAACTGAAGTTAAAATTTTCAAAGCTTAAAATTGATTTTAATTTTCAGTTTTTAATTATCTTTTTAATACATAATTAAAACCTCATAATTTATATTGTAACCTATATGGTTTAAATGTTTCATTCCTTTAAGACATAGTGCAAATGTCTTAAATCTAGGAGGCAAAAATGTGACGAAAATGTGAAATTAATTTGGTAGTATTGGGTTTGTTGCTTCAATTTGATTTTTTTTTTTGGCATGTTATCAAGTACATATATTATCTCACTTTGCCAATTTTGTTAGTTGGAATATCTATTGTTGAAGTACTCTCGTTCTATATTTCTTAATTTTGAAACATTAACCTTTTGGTAAACTTTTCACAAAGAAATTGATGAGATGAGTGTGTAAAAATATTTATGTGACCAATCAAATGGAGAAGATATAAACTCAAGGATCCTCTTCTACTCTAATGATTCAGGCTTGGTTGGTTGGTATTCTATTTCAATTGATTACTCCTATTTATCTATATGCTAAGGATTCATGTTCCTATATTTCCTAATTTTTATGGCAATCAAATGACATGAAAAAAATAAAAGGACCAATAGTTTTAACTAGTTATAAAATGTGAAATTATTCATGTCAATTATTGGTGTTGGGTTTAGAAATTAATATTACTAAATTTAGTAACAGAAAATTCTATAATACTATTTTGAAATTTACAGTTACAAAATTGTGATGCCTTCTCTTGTACAATTCATTTACTCTTTATTGTTATTAAATCTTAATGTTAACCAAGTTATTATCCTAATTATAATTTCAATATGGAAAAGAAGTTCCAAAAGTGTTATTTAAGATTTTGATATATCTGTGCTAAATATCATGATCATTGGTATCAACTTGATGGGCATGATGATTGTAATTAATAATTTAACATAGTCATTCACATAGATGTGTCCTAGAATAATCTCATAAAAGGGATCACGAGTCTCCCTGAATTTTATGTAGTGCAAAATTGGTTTTGGATTACTTCAAATGTAAAACAGGGGAAGGATGTAGAGAACTTCAAAGAAAAAATTCATAGCGTGATGACGAATAATTACCATGCATTTTCTTCTATTTGTTTAGACATATTGGTGATTATATGGTGTAAGAAAGAAAATATGGTATATTAACTCATGATAAACTTCATAGTAAATGTATTATTTGACCTGCCACAAGGTGAGCTCTCTCCTAGCCAGAAATCCTTGAAATGTGGGGGTATCAAAATTTCAAGTATATGTACTAGTCATAATTGCCATGAAATTGACATTTTGACCAAAGTGTTCAGGTTAAATCTGAAGATTGCGGGTGAAATACAAGAGTTGAACGGACGCATACGTTCGAACATGCTACAAGAAGTCAATTTCTAAATTTCATGAATTTATCTTATTATAATTAAATATGTGTTATTGATATCTTATAAATTTTAAGAAAACTTTGCAGGTGTGCAGATTGCAAGCGGAGAATAAAAGCTTGTAAATATTATGGTATCAAATTATTGTCCAAGAAAGACATGAAATAAATTATAGTCCGAAATTGACATATATAAATCATCGAGGAGGACGAGTTTAAGCCCATAAGGGAGTCACCTCCGGGAGTAATCCAACCTTTGTGATTGAAGATCTCATGAAGAAGGTTCAATGTGGTAGAAACAACTTGTACTTCGTGACTTGTAATAACACTATTTATATTGTGCTCATCCCTATGGTGATGGTGTTAATAATAATGTGATGTTAGGAATGAATTAACCCTGAATGGATACCGAAGCGAGAATTCTCGCGAGGGTGTGGGTCACACACACCTTTGGAGGACTCACCTATGTAAGAGTTATCATGAGGCCTTGGCTATGGGATTGGGCTATTCCCTAGAGACTCTTACTAGAATCAAGATTAGAGCGCATGACCATTAAAAGAGCTACCCGCTATGAACTAAAACCTAAATTGATACTGTGTGTGGAATAATTGAAGTTTGATAATGGGACCTAATTCAAGACTTTGTCTATTATGGCTCCCTCAAATGGAAATTGTTATCACTAAATGAGATTGAAGTCCAAAAGACACCTACACATATTGCACTGTATTATGTTGCCACTATTATATATTTTTTAATTATTTTGAAAGCTTAAAACTTGTGGGCGTCCGAGCTATTGTTGGAAATTATATTAAGTTTCAACTTTCAAAATTATTATATTTTTAATTTCAGTTTTGGATTTAATTAAAATCTTAATTTATAATATAACATAAAACTAAATATTTAAATGAGGTTATGAATTGATTAATTCTCATTAGTGTGGGGGTTTCAATTGTACACTATATAAAGGGAGGAAAATCACAATTTGAGATACAATTAAAAAAACAACTTGAGATGATTGATTCCAAAATTATTCTCCATAATTTTACCCTATACTATTTCGGCAACTAGATAAAGACTCGTTATTTATCTCCTTATGGTCGTGGCCATAGAAGGAGAGTCACATGAGTTTTATCTTGGAGCCGTGTAGTGCCGAAAGAACCCTCACGAAGAGAAGGCAACACGACTTTAGGACATCGTCCTCGACGTGACTCCCAAGATTTGATTTTCTAACCCTATTATTATTTTATATTATTGTTGAATTATGTTTACGTCTAATTAATTATATTATTATGCTAATTGATAAATTTATCTACACACAAATCACTCAATTTTTCCCAACAGTAATTGCATGGCCTTTTATTTGTTTGATTTTCTGCTCAAATTTTGTTTGAAAGAGCTTCAGACAAACTCGAGCCAATTGCTTGCAGCAGCAGCATCAGTTAAAAATAAGCCCCTGTTTGGTAAACCTCATTTTTCCCTAAACTCATTTTCAAATACAAATTCTCCCAATAAAATAATTTTACACATGGACCCGTAACTTTTTCCTATTTGTTAACAACACATTCTACAAAAAAAAATCACTTTTCACAAAATTTATTCCGGAAAAGATCTCCATCAAACTGAGGCTTAGCATTTTCTCAATAATTTTGGGGCACCTTCACGAATCTTTTTGCGCAACTGTTCATGACTGATGGCTGCAATGTGCATCAAAGTAAAATTGACAGTAACCGATAGTTTTGTTATTCGCTCTTGCCACA